AATTCTCCCCTTTTTCTCTCGGACATCACACAACAATCAAACCCACTAATTTCCTACACAAATCATCAACCAAAACCCATTTTCAAATGGCCAAAATTCATCCCTATTTCAACAGAATTTTCGGACAACCCAAGCCCATTTCATACAGCCACTTAAACTCACAATTCAGCACTTAATCCACCAATTTTCAAAGATTAGAGGAGCCAACTTACCAAAAATCCCCAACAAGCAAAGTTGGAGCTGGCGGTAAAGGGAGAAGCCGGCGGGGAAATTGCAGGGGAACTTCACGCAAACTTCTAGCAATTGAAAGAAAGGAGAATTAGAGTAAACTCACACAAACTAAAGTTGAAAAGAGGAATTTATGGGCTGGTTTTACCAGGAAAACCAGCAGTAGCCGGTGGCAAAGGGGGAGGAAGCAGAGCAGTTCCAGCGGCTTTTTCTGCAAAAGAGAGAGGTTCTAAGTCCTAGACTTGTTCTTGGGTAAGAGGGGAACAAAAAATCAAGAAGTTCTCTTACCAATTTGCAGATGGGGACGCTGGAAAATGGCTGGGTTCACTTCGGCTGCAGTGGAGAAGAAAACAGAGCAGACGTGAAAATGGCTGGGAGAAAGAAGGAAAGAAAAGAAAAAGGAAAAAGAGATGAGTCAGCCGGCCTTATCCAATAAGAGTTTTAACTCCTTTAAAGTTTGAAAAATTGACAGTTAGGTCCATTAATAATGTTTCTTCACCATTAGGTCCCTAACCCAACTTAATGTGCTTGAAATTTTTGGGGTATTACAAGCTGACAGCTTGAATTGTTTAGCAGGCTCGGCTCCTTTTAAATACTTAGGTGTGTTGGTAGGGGCAAACCCAAGGAAAATATCTACTTGGAAACCAGTCATTGATTGTTTACGGAAAAAGCTATCCCTGTGGAGATGTAATTCACTGTCTTTTGGTGGACGCATCACTCTACTGAACTCAGTCCTTTCATGCATCCCTGTGTATTACTTCTCTTCAATTAAGGCTCCCAAACAGGTACTCAACCTTATTTCTTTAATCCAATGCAGATTTCTTTGGGGAGGGAATGAGGAAAATAAGAGGATCTCTTGGGTTAGTTGGGATAGAGTCTGTAGAAGTAGAAGAGAAGGTGGAATAGGGGTCAAAGATGTTGGGTTGTTTAATTTAACCTTATTAGGAAAATGGAGATGGAGACTACTACAGGAGAGAGGAACTTTATGGAGGAAGGTGATGGAGGCAAAATACAAACTTACTCTAAAACATGAGTGGGAGGGGCAAGAATGGGGAGGTAGGTGCTCACCATGGTGGAGAGACTTGTGGAATCTAGATAGGAACATTGAGTCTAGGAGAAACTGGGTGAAAGAAGGAATGTTAAAATCAGTAGGGGACGGAAGTGATACTTTGTTCTGGCATAACATCTGGGTTGGGGAGATGCCACTTAAGGAGAAATACAATAGATTATTTGAGATCTCTTTAGATAAGGAGGCTGTCATTGCAAAAATGGGTAATTGGAATCAAGGGGTGTGGGAATGGACATGGAAGTGGAGACGAAATCTTTTTGCTTGGGAAAATGAACTTTTGCAAGAATTAATCAAGGAACTACAATCAATCTCACTAAAACAAGGACAGCATGATGCATGGACTTGGAAATATAACCAGGAAGGCAAGTACATAGTGAAGACAACATACAAACATTTATGTCAACAACACACTACAGGTTCTACTTCTGGCCAAAGGTATGATTTGGTATGGAATAAAAATGTTCCTCTCAAAGTGAGTGCATTCGCATGGAAATTATTGCAAAACAGAATCCCAACAAAGGACAACTTGACTAGGCGGGGACTGAAAGGCCGAGATGATGACAAATGTGTGCTGTGTGGAGTAGAAGTAGAGAGCGTGGAACATCTTTTTTTCAAATGTGAGGTTTCATGGAGCATATGGGCCTCATGCTATGACTGGTGGAACCTCAAAACAGTTGGCCAAGGTAAAGGATGGCTACATATTGAGCAGCACACTGGCTTGGTATCCAGAGGACTCATGAAGGAAATGTGGATAGTAATCTTGTTTGCAACTATTTGGTCCATTTGGCTGTGGCGTAATCAGAAAATATTGAAAGATGAAGCCGACAGTTGGGAGCGGGTTCTTGAGCTAATAAAGTTTAGATCGTTTTACTGGTGCAAAACAACATTATGCCCAGATCTTATGCAAGACAAATGGCGCTCCGAACCAAAAGAAGGACACAAGAGATTGCAGCAATGAGTTTGAGACTGATCACCATGTAATGGACCATGGAAAGAGGTTACACGCTAGTAGAAGTAAAGATTGATACCTACCTCCTAAAAGGCAAGTAAATGGTTGTCAAGTTGGTGGCTGATTACAATCCATTTTGCCCGGCATATGTATGGGATCTTTAATTGTGAAAGCCTTTATGTATTTGCAATGTAATGGGTTCGGAGTACCCCCGGTACTTCATTAATACAATAAATTTTATTTGCTGATCAAAAAAAAAAAAAAATTACATACCAAGGTATACGAGTTCGACTCCCCATTCCCTCCAATTTGGTCTTCCTTCTAATAAAATAAAAATATGTTTCTCCATTTCTTTGTTTCGAAACCATCAGTTATTGTTCATCGCCACACATCTAATTAAATTGAAAGGTTTAAATTTAAATATTAAACTTCACTTTTTAAAAAAATAAAAAAAAAAAAGATATAGTTTATTGTTTTTTTTCTTTTAGAAAAGAAAGATACAGTTGATTGCTTGGAGCAATGCAAAAAGCACTACAGTACCATCCCGAGATTAAGCTAACAATATGCCGGCTGGTCAAAAAGAGAAGCGCGTTGGACGCACGTAATAACAAAAACCATAATCTTGACAGCCAACTGAACTTAATTATTGGTTTTCTTCATTTTCCCCACTCTCATCCAGAACCTGCCAAAATGCATTTCTCAGGCACAGGATCAATGAGCAAAGAAGTCACGGATTCCTTGATCCTTTTTCCAACATGAGTGTAGCCGTCTTCAGCCTTGTACAAGACTTCAATAACTCGTGCAAGATTTAGAATGCAAGTCAGGAGAGGCATAGGGACTGCTGTTGGGCGCAGGCATTCTTCATTGATATCCATCCATGCCCGGGCAATCAGTTTGCGGAGTTCCTCCACTGCTTCTTCTTCTGTGCCACCATATTGCATCGTGTAACATTCAATGCTTGAAGCTACATGTCCTCTCTTTTGCTCAAACTACACATATATAAATTTACTAATTAATAGTAGTTCAGAATGATTCGTTTTCATTTTACAGTAGTACGTGTACATATAGATATACCTTATGGGATGCAATGTCGTCCATGAGTCTAGCAATAGCTTCAGAAGCAGTGACAATCCTGGGCCGACTCAACAACCAATTAAAAGAATCTTCTGTGGCAATATCTCCCAGTCCGACAATGGATGTGACAGCCATCATTTCATACCCAGATGAAATTAATGCCACCGGCATGTACTCATCCAGTGTTGGTGTGTACTTTTCATGGAACCACTTGGCTTCTTGGAAGTAGGCTCTAACAAGACGTTTCATCTGAGTTGGAAATAAAGGAGGTTGAGAATTGCATCTGATATAGATGTTTGGGCCAAAATAAAATAAAGTACGCGAGCAGGGGAGCTTACAGCTTCTTTTGCATAATGGACGCGGTATAATTTCCCTCGTGCTGCCATTTGTTCTTCAATTTCACGGTAAATATCTAAAAACGCCCGAAAATAAATTTGCATGTACTCAGGCATTTGATCTATTGCATTTATATCCCACCTGAAATTAAGGTAACCCAATACGTTAAATTAGGATAAAATTACTATTTAAATTTTTTTAAAAAA